TTTAGCTAAACTGCCGTTTGTTGACAGTTCATCCATTTATTTCATTGAAAATGTTTATGTCGACAAGAATCCTAATTTATCTTCGATTCAAAATTGATAATTTACTTGAATTTCATGTTTACAGACATAAAAGAAACGCAAAAGAATACCACAGGGTTTCTAGAAACCTCAGATAAGACTCAGATAAATCCATGCCTAATAGACCTTTTCATGTAATTTAAATTTATCAACAAGTCACACGGTCAAAAAGTTAAATATTAAGTCAATTATATGATCACTATCGATATAAGTCCATAGAACGATAAAAAAGCCTCCAGAGAAAACTTTCCACAAATACGGATATCAGGGAAGATGATTAATTATTTCACCAAGGAAGAGATATGAAAGCTCACTTTATTCAAAAGTTACCTGTGGTAATGTTGGATAGAAGAACAGTGAAAATGGCGCAAAACTAGATTAAAGAACTAACAGAATAAATTGATACCAGAAAATTTATTCCTTTACGTTTCCAGTGTATCATAGGGCTAGCTTCAAGATAGAGGCTTGGATTTTCTGTAGCAGTGGTGATTATTTTTACAGGATGGGGTTGCTAGCCTCATGCTCAACTTTCCCTCTTTACCAGTCTTACTACTGGCTTGTCGAGGTAGATCAGTGCGTTGGCGGCTGGGGATCGAACCGATGCAATACCAGAAAGAGTGGAAAACAACTGGTACGAAATTTAGATTACTTGATCCGTTTTAAATTTACCTATATTGATTGAGGAATATAACGTTGAAAACAAGCAACAAAAGGTAATAAAGCACGAATGAATGATTAGAAGTTAACTGGTGGATGGTGACTAGCAATGGAATCCAGAATAACACCCATTTCGTCCTGTTTAGTACTCGTCATCCGGATGTACCAGCATTCTTTAGTGAGTGTTGGTGTTCTTACCTGGGCTCGAACCGAATGTCCATAGTTTCAGACGCCAAAGCGTTATCCACTAGACCACTTGGGCCACGAGAGCTCTCGTGAACACGAATGAATGAATTCATTGAATGTCGGTAGAACACTTCAACAGAATGCTCTCCGTTAACGAAAACAAGAAAATTAGCTCAGAAGAGAGTCTTCTTTGTGGAATTTATTTCCTTCTTTAGCTGTACAAGTACACCTATATACAATTTTTTTCATGAAACAAGGTAGCAACCGAAGTGCTGAGCTGTATTAACCACAGTTTTTAATGTTAGTTTGTGTTTACGAGGAGTTGAAACATCATTTGTTCTATAAAAGAAAGATTACAAGAACCTGGATTTTGAGGGTGACTTGACCTGCAATATACTTAATAGAAGAATTTCAGCATTTCTGAGGTGAATGTTCTTCGCATTCATCCACTGGTCTGCAGAAGCTTCAAGGATAAGATCTCACATCTGACCACTCCCGTATGCATATATCAGTTCAGATGTTCTTTTGGAACCAGGCACAATCATCGTTCGACGCGTATCCTATCTCAAAGGGTTTAGGAACGCTATCCTACATGGTTACAAGTAGGTGGATATTTTTATTCCTTTACGTTTCTAGTGGAACATAGGGCTGGCTTCAAACTAGAGGCCTGAAATTTCTGTAGCAGTGGTGATTATTTTTACAGGGTGGGATTGCTAGCCTCATGTCCAACCCTGGCTTTTACCAATCTTACTACTGGCTTAGTGAGGTAAATGAATGCGTTGGTGGCCGGGAATCGAACCTCGGACCACATGAGGCGTGGTTGGCGAGCACTCTACCGCTGTGTCACCGACACTGCAAATAGGTGGTAATGGTTATATAGGGAGTGCGATAACCGAAAAAGTTTCAACACTGGTCATTTCATCTAAATGAAAACGTCTCCTTCGAAGTAATCTATGAGGTGAAGAATCTACTTTCGTCTCTTTACGATTTAGAGTCTCTAATTTTATTATTCACTCAATTAATCAACCCTGAAAATATAATATATTGTCTTAGTATTGTACTGTGTTAATGAATAACCGTTCGAACGCCCTCGAAATCTGTGTTTACTGAAATTCTTACAGATTATATTTGCTCTTGATATTTCGCTATATTATTAAAGTGTGACTTTTAGAAGTCATTTAGGTAAGTTTTCAATCTTAAAAAGACGTTCACTTCAGTTTACTCGAAAGCAAACATCATTTTCGATTTGTTTATTTCATAGGACAGATAAACAGATTGTATAAATTATTACTTGACTTGTCAATTTCGCTTCCTGTTTATCTATTTATTAGATACAGAGAGGGGAAGCTTAGTTTGTGCTGTACAAACGGCATCATTTTGATTCCATATTAGATAAGTTTATTTTGAATACAATACAGTGGTGCAGTATTAATAAATCAATAACGTTTGAGCATAAATTATTATTGCTCATAATCATATCAATTTAGTCACGCGACTTCACAATTTGTCTTAGATGTACTGTTTTTGTCTCTTTCTGTTTCTCCAACTTCGCTTTGTTATTTGCTGCCACTTTCCATTTTTCCCGTATAGGCGTTGCATCATTCCGATTGCATGTATGGCGCCATGTTGAATCCATAAACAAAGCTCCTGTGATTAACCACTCGTTCACTCCACCCCATAAATTTTGTGATTACATGCAAGTGAATGCAATGCAGTGTCTCAGATGCTTTTGATTACTTAACTTAGCAGAGTCAATCGTTCTACGTGTTGTTAAATTTTTATGTTGCAATAATCTAATTAACCCCGATCTACTAGTTTGACCTATGTAATTGACTTCATTCACAGTCATTACATGGTCTTCGGTAAATTATATTGTTTTCCTTAATTGGATCTGTTGGGTCCTTGAGCAAATACAGTTTATCTCTGAGATAGTTGGTTGGTTGGTCTAAGTGCCATCCTAATTCCAGCTTCATTGAGAACACTGCGTCAGGCCACTGAGTTGCACTGTTCATACGACTACACAACAAAGATTTTGTATTCCGTGTTATTTTCGTTATTTTCAGTACCAGTCTTAATTTTTTCTACGAGTATCCATATCATAGTATGTAAATTCTGGTGGGTAGTTGTTATTCACTACGAATACTTCCTTTATTTTTTTAATATCACTATTTAAATTTTCTGGCTTACTAGAATGGCTCTTGACTTGATTACACAGACATTTAAGTAAACCTATCCTCACCAATTCTAGATGGGATGAATTAAAGTCTAAGTATTTACTAGCGTGTGTGTCGGTTTCCTATAAATGCTATTATCTAGTCAACCATCTTAATTTCGTCCAATTTTACAGTCTATCAGGGTCAACGCAACTTGTTTTTTTCCCAACTCAGAAGTGAATTTGATTCCATCTACTATTAAGTTTAAATGTGTGAATAAACTGAGGGATGTGTTCAGATTTCAACCCAGTGAATTTGTCATCTACATATCTCTACTATAACCTAGGAGCAGGATTAAACATTCTAAGAGGTTTATGTTCGCACCTATCCATAAACATGTCTGCTACTATTGGGGATATTGGTGATCTCATTGCCGTCCATTCGTTTGTTTACAAACTGGGGATTAGAAAAAGTAGAAAGAAAACATCAGGTTACCATACCACTGTAAATCTTCTATTTGGCCTCAAAGAGTGCACCTTAAAAATGTTTTAAAAAAGGTAATAAAATCAAGCGATTGTTTTTTCTGACATTTCCAAAACTTCTTCGGTTCAGGCGCACTGTTTTTAACCTCACTTAGCCGGTAGGTAACCTCGATATAGGTGGAAGGTTGCAGACATGAGTCTAGCAACTCTCTCCTCTCATAAAAGAATAAACGCCATTGCTCATGAAACTGTTTTCTCCTATACAAAACCATGAGGGTAATTGTTGGACGATATGTATGGATAGCAAACGCTGAGTACGGCAGACATTCTTAGCTCCACACAACCAGGTGAAGACAACAGTGCTAGCTTATACTTCACGTTTATGCGAATCATTGGTTTCTTTGGAGAAAGTTAGTCAAGATTCAGCCTCGAAGAAGGCTTTTTTCAATGAGCAGGACAGACGGTTTCTCATTATTTCTGCCAATGTTTCTCTACTGAACTGTAGATTCCATAAAAGAAGTCTTTTGAAAGGGGAAAGTGTGGACCGTTTTATTGGCTTAGGCTTCACAGATTTAGTGGTGAAACATTCTAGTTAGTGATTTTCAAGGAGAATTCCTATGAGAGTGTTCATCTCCTCGTTCATAGTATCAGGACTGCAAATGCTGCGGATTCTGTGGTTCACTGTACGGATCAGGTTTCGTTTTGTATATCTGTTCAATGTCAGCATTCTGTTGATGAACCTTTTTAGTCTTTCGTCTTGTTACGTCTCCTTAATTTAAATTCCAGAAAGGATACTTTTATGTTGGACTTTTTGTGTGATGTGAACTGAAATGCAGGATGACAACTTTTGAAAAGGTTCGGAGTGTCCTCCATAAACTCATCATTATTTGAGATCATGTAAGAAAAGCTCACATATCTCTCGCGTAACCCGAAGCTGTGAGTCATATTTTTTAGGTATGCGTTTTGTAGCTGTGACAAGAAAACATCTGCTAGCAGTGGGCCCAGTGATGAACCTATAGCCATACCTTCTTTTCGTCGATAAATTTCGTTATGGAAAGAGAAATGGACATTTACAGTGCATCTCAATAGCAATCTCTTCAAACAGTGAGTGGATTTACCAATATTTATCCCCTCGGAATCAATAGTTTTGTATATGTAGCAGTGAGTGGGAAGTTTACCCGATCATGTGGGGTTAGGTATGTTACCTATAATCAGCGTTTGCCATACATACATATCATCGAACATTTACCTTCATGGCCTTATAAGGGAGAAAAAAGATCACTCCCACCGTGTAGCCACAGTTCTATCCTGAAACACCAAGCCGACCAACAAACGAACATCAAAGCCCAAAGCTCCACTTAGAACATAAAGGATTATTATAAAAATAAATAAATAATAAAAATAGTAATGATAATACAAAAAGTACACACATAAATATACTTACTTGGCATTTAATTATTAATTTATTATGCTGATAGCCTAGTTTCCTACGTTCTTCATTATTTGGAAGACTTTCTAAGAAGCCTGCTAATGAAAAAGCTGCACTCGCTGCATTATATTCTGCTTGTTTCTGTTTATAATAATATAAATGTTCTGCATATGCAGCTATATCCAGCAGAAATTCTCTCGGTGTTTTCCAACCTTTACTTTGCAAGTACTTTAATCCTTCCGGGGAAATAGGTCGAAAATTGCAAACAGTTACAGATGGAAATGGACTCGATGCATGCCGAAGAACACGTGGTGGATGTATGACATTATATTCTAAGTATTGTCGTGCTAAGAAAAACATACAAGCAAAACATCCTAAGACAAGTATGCACACTAAGCTTAACCATAGTAAGCGTAAATGACGATTATGTGAACGAACTATTCTTGGTAGGCCACGAATTGTTGTATTTTCACAGAAACGTTTTAATTCATCCAAGATGATAACAGAAATATGATCATTTCTTGGCAGGGGTTTACGTTTTTTACGCTTCAGCTTGGATGTGGAAATATGAATTTTGTTTTGACTGCTTTGTGTTGTGTGTTTCAGGAGTAAACGATGATGCTGGGCATGATGAGGATTTAGATAATTGTTGAGTGACGATGTCTCATCAGTCAGCTCGCTACACTTTTTTATCTCCTGTATGAAAATCCAACATAATGGGCATAAGGAATCGGTAGTGTTTCTTTCAGTAATCTCTAAATTTTTATTTTCCTTACTATCGTTATTATTATTATTGTTGTTATGGTTGTTATCAGACATAGTAAGCGGTGAGAAGTGATTATTTTATGAAAATTATTAACCCTTTAAAGGTGAGGAGAAATTTATAAGGTTTATTTTTAAAAGCGCTCTTTCTGATTGGCTAATTTAAGTCTATCCCTGATTGGTTGCTTTTGGAAAGAGTTAAATGAGGATACGTAACAGGATATTTGTTATATGTGTATTCATGTGGAAAAGTTCTCCTATTAAATATATATTTATGGCTACCTGAAATACTGGAGGAAGTCAGAAGGTCAGCTTCTAAGTATTTTTAATGAAAAATCCCCATTGAACATTGATAGACAGAAGACCAGTAGTTCAACAAAGAGTCTCTTCTCGGCGATTTCGTTTTCATAGCTGTACAATTGCATGTATATATATATGACTGTTTTGTACGCGTGTGTGTCGATGTTGATATAAGAGGGTAGTAACAGAAGTGATGAGTTATCACAAACGATTGTTAAAGAAGAGTTAAGTAATAACAACGTGTATAGTTTGACGAAAGAGTTGTGCTCAGGGTGTACATGGAAACAAATCAACATCGGAATTACGTAATAGTTTTGAGTAGTAAGAAAAATGAGCATGCGGGCAAAAGTTAAGTCAAATCGACAGAGTTGTTACCATGAGAGTAGAAGTGGTTGGAAAATTCACTTTTGTATGCATAGTTCTGGTTCTTCTAAGTGAATGGCTAGGGCTTCTACAGTGCAAAGAAGACGGAAACGTATTGTCTTAAGCAGAGTGTTCTTCACTTTGTAGATTACTTTGAAGTAGGAGGCATTTGTTAAGATGGAATGACCAGTGTTGACGAGATGTTCGATTATCGCACTGCTTATACGGCCACTACTTCCTTTCTGCAGCCACGCCGGATAGTGTTCTTTGACCCTTTTTGACTGGATGCACGTCGAACGACCGATGTACCTGGCTCCCTCTTATATCAACATCCAATACATCTGAACATACTTATTGTATTTTCGTTTGGCAAATGTAATGTGTACACACATACAAAACAACCATATATATTTGCGATTGTACAACTATGAAAACCAATTCGCCGAAAAGAGACTCTTTGCTGAACTATTGGTCTTCGAAGTATTTCACTGACGAGATATTTCAATAATAAACACAGCATTAAAGATTTTCATGTCTCAGACAAAGTCATGGTCTTATTAGATTCAAGGTCATTAACCATTTATGAAAGTCTCACAGAAACTGTCGGTTATGCATGCGCCTATTTGTTGCACACAGTTCAGACACAGTGATAGCATTGCGATGGGATCGCCAATAGGTTCACTTTTAGCTGATCATTTTATTTCCTATAGTGGGTTTGTAAGGATTAGTCTTGCTTTTACGAGTTCATCAGCGATTGATATCACTTAGAGAACCATTGAAAACTAGCCAGAGGGAGTACTGGACAGCTGTTTTATTCTAGTTCGGGAATCATCGGCAGTACGTTCCCACTGGGGTTCGAACCCAGAACCTTAGTCTAACAATCAGTCGTTTTGATATCGCTAGAAGATACGTAGATGACACTTTCATTATCTGAGATAAGGATGTAATAATTGATGAAATCTTGTTTACATTCAACCAGTACTCTCCTTCTTTGGGATTTTTTACTACCAAAGAGGAGTCTGAACTAAGCATTCTTTTTCTTCATGTGTGTTTTAGTAGATGTAATGACAAATCTGTTTAAAGATCCATTCACCGGAAACGTCCATGAAATGGAAAACTAACTAACTATCAAGGAAGAGAAGTTTAATTAATTCTGTCTGCCTCAGGATAAGAAATATTTGTAGTTCTGATTTCTTGGTTGGAGGATTTCATCATGTGCTGACATCATCTAGAGAGCCACTAGAAAACCGGCTGCTAGAACTGAACAGCTGTTTTGTCAGACCAGTTCGGGACTCTTCATCAGTACGCACCCACCACTCTTCCTCAAACCCAGGACCTTCTGGCTACAAAGCGAACTAGCTAGTAGACCATTAAGCCACTGGGACCCGACTGATTCAGTGGCCAGTTCAATTCATGACGAAGCGTGGCCACTTCGCAATGTCTTCTTCGATGAGCTACTGCCTCATCTTCAACCTGTTGTACTTTACTGGCCATGGCTTCCCACTAGAATGCCACGTAGCTGCCTGAAAAGTGCCAGTTCTGATTTCGTTGGCTCAGAAATTCTCTCCCTGAAAGCTTTGCACGCAGAAAACAATTACACTAACTGATTAATTGGAAGAAATACGAGAGATACGCGATCCAAACTGATCAGTGATTCAGTTAAAAAGTAAACAATATTCATGCATTTGGATTTCAAAGATTAACAGGCCTAAGATGTACTCAAAAGTCATCTTACTAAATCAATCAGTGAGACTTTCTTTGCTGCAAAACTACAAATGACCTTCGTCAGCCGCAGGTTATGACTATACCCGACCTACTAGATTGACCTATATAATTGACTTGGATCACAGTCATTGCAAGGTGCTTTTTAAATCATATTATTTTGTCTAATTAGGTCCTTGAATGAGTTTGTAGGTTTGCATGCCACTCAAATTCTTATTCTATTTTGTATCCTACATCGCGTCTTAGATGTCCCCTCCTTAAATGGTTTAATAGTAGATGCCTTATGCTCTCTTATTTATGTTATCATTATTAGTTTCACCATTATTTCTACTTTGCTTTTGACCTATACTGATCTTCCTAATGAATTTTATAGGATAGTTATTTGATACCGACACCTCTTGTATCTGTTTCATTTCATCATTTAGGTCTTTTTTGTGCTACTTAGTGCTACTACTCGGTTTGTTAGACACTCAACTAAGCCAGCCTTCACAGACAGACAACAGATGAGATGAATTAAAGTCTAAATATCTATTAGAATACGTTGGCTTTTTATGAACGCTAGTGTGTAGTTCGCCTTCTTCTATTCGTTTTATTTTACAGTCTGACATCATGGCTAATTCTCCTTGTTCATTTTCCGATTGAGATGCGAATCTTATTTCCTCTACTAGTGAGTTAATATTTGTGAAGAACCTAGAGATATGTTCTGTTTTTAACACTGTAAAATTGCCAGTCATCCACATATCTTCACCATATCTTTGGAGTAGGATTAAATGTACTGAGAGCAGTATTTTCCGAGGTGTGCATAGAAATTTAATTCTTGTGTATAGCTGTGCAACAGTATTGTTGAAGTTATTTTGAGTTTCTAATGTTAATATTGTTGAGTAAAACCATAAAGATCTATCGACAAATATTCGTCCTTTTTGTATCTTTGTAGCGTTTTGTGATGGAGCATGTTTCGAAGAAGTTTTGTCACCTGTACAGTAGGACAGTGAGATCAATTTCCTGTGTTCAGGTCACAGTAAGTCGGTTTTGATCATAACAAGTCTTCTGTCTAACGAAGCATTCATCACTCCTTAATTATCTATTAAATATTTGTATCTACCAGTTTGACTGTAGCTACGGAACCAGAAAAATCGGGCGTGCATTTAGGCAGGTTTACCATCGTATTACCAAACATCATCCTGCAGCATGGTTAGTCAAGGAACAAACAAGATCCATTTGTAGCTCTGTCTTAGAACACCTTGTAGATAGTGAGCATAAAGTTGACGTTAATAGAGTGTTTAAAGTTATTTATCGCAATCCTACTAGTCTTAGCTTGGCTTTACGAGTTCGTCTTCTACATACGATTGAAGCCATAGGAATCCACCTGTAGAAGCCAAATCTGTGTGTTCAGAGTAAGTTCTTACAAACCCTTTCCATACCTTCGCCATCGTTACATGAATGTGTAAGCCGGACTACTTCGACCCCCTCCCCCTGAAACCTTGAAAAATTATAAAAGTATACTTGTTCAAATTATTTTTTCATTTTTTCTGACTACCTCATCTTTAATTACCTGTTATCTTTGTCGAAATTATTTTATTCTTGTGACTACTTTATCCTTAGCTACAAGTTATCATTGTCCAAATTGTTTTATTTTGTTCTTTAACAATCTGTTACATAATCAACTTCAGCACACGCTTATTCCTCAATTACTCTTCATTTTAAGTGATTGAAAATTCGCATTAAAATTTTCAAAAGAATGGATACTGAACAAAGATAACTTCTCATTCATCAGACTCTACTGTTATATATACATTATAGCGAATGAATGAATTAGTGTTATGAACAACATTAATGTTGTTTAAATAACATCGAATCAATTATAATATCAATGGATTACAGTTCAATAGCATCAACATAACAATACACACTAAATTTCAGAGAAAAAAATTAGGAAAGATAATAATACAAATGGGGTTATTCTCTGTCTCTGAAAAAGATAAGCCTCCCTCATCCGGCTAGCTTCATGTGTATCTATCAGTTCACCTACTCTTGTACAGCGGGGTACATTGATCATAGTCAGAGAATGCTTTCCATGCAGATACGAGAACATGTTCCAGTATGCTTTTATAAGGGAAAAAGGAGAGTTGTGCTAACCCCTATTCTAGAATACTTGATCGACCTCTATCTTTCTACCAGCCCTGATCATGATTTTGAGATCACAAATCGAATTTATGCTAATTTGTTGCGCTTTCATCGTTGTCTTACCACTATATACGTACGTAACTTTTTAGTTTCCTAAAATGTCAGGGTAGCGGAAACGCTGCAAAGTACACACATATGTATCGGGTGCAGTAGACTTCATTTCAGTAAACTTCAGCACTCTGATCTGAGTGTGCTGGGAAGAGGAGGTTTTCATTATATTTAAACAAACGATTAGCCTTTTCTGAGGGAAAGGATGAACATAAAATACAGAAATCAGTAAATTTAATTCAAGTTGTACATAAAGACACCATTTCTTATCTATTTAGGGGTAAAAAGGTGCTTGAATAATAAAAAAGTCAGTGATTCCGTATTCCAGCGTATTATCTTTACAGGAAAAGGATGTAGGCAAGTTGTAGATATTAAGAAATTTAATTCACGCTGTGTAGATGAAAATTTTATTCATTCATCTAGTCAAAACTAGGATCGGG